AATTTAAAAAAATTTTTTTCTGGAAACTTTAGTAATTTTAAGTGTTGTATTATTGGATAATAATTAGATCATTCTACAGAGAGCAGTCACCTGTTTGTGCGAGCAGTCAGTAGTTAGGAAATTTAAAAACAGGTGCCATTTATAATTTATACTGAAAGTATAAAATAGAATAAACTCAATAGAGGATGTATAAGAACATCACTGGAAATTGATAGAACTGAAAGAAATGAATGAACACTTAAATAGAAGGATATAACATTCATGGATTGGAGGGCTTTTTTTTTTTTCTCTGAGACAAGGTCTTGCTTTGTATTTCAGGCTGGCCTTGAACTCACGAATTCATCCTCCTTCCTCAGCTCCCGAGTGCTAGGATTACAGGCATGTGCCACCATGTCTGGCAAGGATTTGCTATTTTGAAGATAACTGTTCTCCCAAATTGATGTACAGGTTAATGCATTCATTATGAAACCTCCTTTCTTGGAGGTACAACTTTGACAAAGTAATTCTTTTTTTTTTTTCCCCCGCTACCAGGGATTGAACTCAGTACCTTGCATTTGCCAGGCAGATGCAGTGCCACTGTTACCATAAACTGAAAATATGAACAAATGGAACAGAGAGCTTAGGATCAGATCTATTCATATGTGGAGATTTTATTTGCTTTAAAGGTTGTAGAGCAAGGGACAAAACTAGGAAGAACTCGCTATTTAGTCCAGGCTGGCTTTGAACTCATGGTGATCCTCCTGTCTTACCCTCCCAACTGTTGGGGTTACAAGTGTGTGCCACCATACCCAGCTAATGGTGTTTGGTTTTTTGGATAGGGTCTGACTATGTAATTCAGGTTGGGCTTGAATTCACTATGTTGCCCAGGCTGGTCTCAAACTCCTGGTGATCCTCCTGCCTCAGACTTCAATGAAATATTCAGCAGTGAAAGTGAACAAACTACTTTTACTTGCAAGAATGTATGTGTCTTACAACACAATGTTGAGCAAAATAAATCATATACCAAAAAGAAAATATATACAGAATTATTTGTTTTATAGGTAAGGGTAAAAATAAACCCTAACATATAAGAATAACGTGGTTTAAGTGGTGTCTCTGTAAAGAAAGGAAGTGAGAGTCTGGAGCATGGTTACCTGTGGGGAATGGGTTGCAGTGGCTATTGAGGAGGACATGAAGAAGGTTTCTGGAGTGCTAATAGGATTTTAGTTCTTAACCTGGAGGTAATAGCTGGATGTTTGGTTAGTGGAAAATTGTCAAGTTGTACTATTTTATATGTGTGCACTATAAATCCGTTATATTTTATAACTTTATTATTTTTTTAAATGACTTTTCATCAGGCCAGAATGGGCTGATGTAAATGTATTATTAAGCAATCTCTTCTCAAGCACAGCCCTTAGACCTACTTTGTCAGAATTGTAACAACTAGAAATATTTAGAAATGAAGTAGATTATTGATCCATAAGTCAGTTTAAGAAGAAGCTGACAGATTTAATTCTCATTTGTGTGAAGGTTAATGAGTGAAAAGTAACAGATTTTTCAGTGGTATAGTTTTTTTGTTTGTTTGTTTGTTTGTTTTGGTACCGGAGATCGAACTTGGGTCCTTGCGCTTGTGCAGCAGGCGACGAAACCACTGAGCTAAATCTCCGGCCCAAAGTGGTATAGTTTTATGAAAAAGGTTGGAGACAGAACATTTGATTAGGATTTACCTATCATTTCTATACTTTGATGAAAGGGGGACAGGATGAATGGAGAGGAAAAGCATTTACCATTTTACAGTGGCAAAAGGAACATCTAAAGCACAGAATTTCTCGTGTACCTAAACTGCAATTAGTGGTACCATGTAGGAAATAAGACAGTTTTTATTTTTTTACTTTATTTTTATTTATTAACATTATCTTCTCTTTTTTTGGTACCGGAGATCGAACTCAGGTCCTTGCGCTTACAGGGCAAGTGGCGGAACCACTGAGCTAAATCCCCAGCCTATTATCATTATTTTGAGACAAGGTCTTGCTATGTGTTTAGGCTGGCCTTGAACTCATGGCAGTCCACCTGCCTCAGCCTCCTGAGTGCTAGAATTATGGGCATGCACCTTCAAACCCAGCCCCAGTGTTTTAAAATTTGTACATTTCTTAAGCTTCACTGTCCAAATGTTCAGGAATTTATTTTGTACTGATCTTAGTAATTCAAGATTTGTTTAGGGGCGGAGATTTAGCTCAATTTTGCTGCACCTGCCTCACAAGCACAAGGTCCTGAGTTTGATCTTCAGTACCAAAAAAAAAAAAAATTTGTTTGACTTTTAATAGCACAGTCCCCAAAAGTTTTTGACTTTCTTCTTTCCTTCCTGCATTCCGCAGTGTGGGGATAGGACTCCAGAGCCTCCCACATCCTAGGCAAGCACTCTACCACTGAGCTCATCTCTAGGCCTTTTTACTTTGAGACTGTCTTGCTGAGTTGCTCAGCCTAAACTCAAACTTAGCATCTTCTTTCTTCAATCTCCCATGGAACTGGTATTGCAGGCATCGGCTTTCATACCTGTCTTAAAAGTTTTAATTTTGGGGCTTACTGCATTGAATTTCTGTCTTGCTATAGCTAGTAGGATTCTTGAGAATCTGAAGGGCAGTGAGGAGTAGTAAAGACTTTTTAAAAAACTGTTCAATTTGTCTCATATGTTGAAGAACTAACTCCAGACTAATGAGAGATGGCATTGAGACAGAAGGATAGACATTGAAATCAGTATTGTTGCTTTCAGTCTGTTCTCTAGAGGATATTACTGAGAAAGTTTGTGAAAAGTAGACTAACTTTCCTGCCCAGTCACAGCTTTGGAGGAACTGACAGAATTATTATTGGGAAAAGCAAATCTTTTCTTTCTTTTTTGTTTTTGGTACCAGGAAATGAACTCAGGACCTTGTGCTTGCAAGGCAGACACAGTGCCACCAAACTAAATCCCTGGCTAAACCTTTTCAACAGTTAAGACCCTCAAGATTTCTTGCAACTTAAAAAATAAAAGCTTATTCTGTTATGCATCCTGGAAACTTGGGAAAATCAGTTGAAGAGAGTGAGATAGGATTTAATTGCTTATCTGTTTCCTTAGTAAACACCCTAATTCCATCAAGCTCTACCTGAAAAACTGAACTTATTCTATAAGTTTGGAGACCTCCCATGTTTAAGTGCTTTGTCTTACAAGGTGAGGAACAGCGTCCTTCAGAATGTAGTTGATGAAGCAAAGGAGGAAAGTAAAGAAAAAATCAGCTGTTAAGACTACATACAACTGGGCATGGTGGTACACACCAGTAATCCCAGCACTTGGGAGGCTGAGGCAGGAGAATTGCCATGAGTTTGAGGCCAGCCTGGGGTACATAGTGAATTCAAGGCCAGCCTGAATTTTTGTTCTGTCTGAACAAAAAGTCTGCAGTCAGCAGAAATAACAGGCAACTAAAAGGCTGTCTTCTTTCATTGAAGACTGTCTTAGTTACCTTTCTTGTTGCTGAGCGAAAATGCCAGACACCCAAAGTTAAGGGAGAAAAGGTGTATTTAGCTCACAGTTTGTAGGGGTTTCAGTTCATAATTGGCTGGCTCCAAGGCAGGGTGGCATGGCAGAGGGCATCACAGAGGAGAAACAGTTCACGGCTCACAGAAGACAGAAGTTGCAAGCAGCAAATTAAGTGACCTTAGCAGCTCTTTTCTGCCCCTTTTATATTCTATCTAGGTTTCTGGAATTAGGGCAGGTGCCAAACCAGTCAGTGGACTGATTTTGTAATTACATACCCTTAAGCCTAGCATCATACACTCTAGATCCACCATGTCTGAAAAAGCCCCACCTATGACTCTATGAGACTTTGGGGGAACATCTAGACACAAGCCATAACAAAGACCTATTTAGCAGACTGGTCACTATGTGCAGATATGTGTCACTATCTGAAATGCAGATATTTTCTGAACATGTGAATCAGAGTGGTCATCAAGATGGGTAGAAAGACTAGTCGATGAGACTAAGTCTGTAATATAACCTACTGAGAGTACTTGTGTTTTACAATTGGCAGCAGAGGTGGAGGTTATAGTAGTATTATTAGAACAGGCTTAGAAGGCTTAAAAAATGGCACTTTGGCATTGTGTCATTCTAAATTTCCCGTCTCTTACTTGCTCCCCTTTGAGCTGAGTCTCCATTATTTATACACTCTTTTTGCTCTTAATAGCTTATTTAACTCACCGATTAATTTCCTTCATGTTTAAATGGTAAATTGGAGGAAGAGAATGACCACCTAGTAATTAAAATTGGTGACATCTTTAGTTTTAAAGTTCTGCGTGCAGTCCAGACATTTGCTAGTAGTTCTTCCAACAGTAACTTTCTTTTCCTTATAGTCATTTTTATGCAGTATAATCCTGGTTCCTGTATTTCCCATTATTGTACATGAAGAAATAACTGTACTTGTGATTTTATTAATGATTTAATATGGATTATTCCAAGTTGGTTTAAGAAAAAAAATTCCAAGAAATTGATCGCTTTTATAGTCAAGTAAGTATTGGATGTGTTCAGTCTAAAGGAGAATTTCAGATTGTTCAATTGTTTACAAGTATTACTTCTGCAAGAATTGGCTCTTGATTTGGCTCTACTCTTTCATTTACTCTTTCTTTTTTTTTTGGTACCGGAGATTGAACTTACTTTTTAATATTGTAAGAGCAAGATGATATAGAGAAAATATAACCAGTGATAATCACATTTGTCAAGATATCTAGACATTTAGGCTTCCTCATCACTGGGCTTTACTTGTATTTAATTGGCTATTACCCCTTTTGGCCCGTGTTAGCCTCTGGTAAAATGTGAATAATATCGTTACCCAACTTTATGTCTGATAGGGAATATCAGTGAGTTAGAGCACGAATCTGAGATCTTAGAAGCAAGGTGATATCCCAAAGTACTATTTAAAAATGACACCTTGAGACTATATTTGATGAGTATTAATGTATAACATCAAACTTGGATTCCTTTCTTGATTCTGCAGTAGGACTTAGTGTGGAAGTTTGGACAAGAAGTAATAGCACAACTGATTTTCTCATCAACATAAAAGAAGGTATTTTGGGAGAGATTATAATTCATCTTTCTCCTAATCTGTCAGAGGGAATAATGTGCCATCATCTGTCTTAGTGAAAAAGGGTCTAAGGAATTTAAAATCATAGATTTTTAATTGCTGAATTCAAAGATATAAATTCACTAGCCTCATGAAGGTACATAGACTTACTCCATGTGTAGATTGAGTCCTCTCATTTTTTAAAATTTTGTCTTGTTTGGCAATTCTCAAATTAAACTCAGGGCTTTCACATTGAGCTACATCCCCAGTGCCACACCCCCTTTTTTATTTTGAGAAATTCTTGCTAAGGTATTAAGTTGCCCAGGCTGGACTGGAACTTGGTGATATTCCTGTCTGTCAGCCTCCCAGAGTTCTGGGATTATAAGTTTCTGCTGCCATGCCTGGCTCCCCTCTACACTTTTGTCTAATGTAAGTAGGCTGACGGGGGACAGGCCTTTCTATGTAGAGAAATCTAAAGAATAATCATCTGAAATAACTCAGGACTTCAGAGAGCCTTACTGTATGTTCACTGTATTAGAGATGTATGTATTAGAGACCAACTGGGCGGGCTTTGGGTGAGCAGCTAGGCTTTATTTCTCACTGGGGTGAGAGTGTGCTGAGTCTGAAAAGGAATCAGCTGGGGGGGGGGTCAAAGACTTAAAAGGGGAAGTGGTTGCCAGGTGTTGGTCCGAGGTGTCACTGTCTTGAAGAGTCAGGGAGCAGAGGTGGTGTGGGTAGCAGCGGTGAGGATGTACTAGGGCTTCCTGGAACCAAGGGGTTGAATGGTTTTTCCTGCCTGTGCTTTCTCACCAGGTGTGACATTCACAATTTTAGCTCTGCTAATTATTTAATTTTTTTGGTGGTATTAAGGATTGAACCAGGGCCTTGTGTGTTACTAAACTTTTTTGGCCAGGTAATGTCACAGCAATGACCGACCCCACTTCTCTGGTACCAAATTTCTGTGTTTGTTACTTTTCTCTCATTGCTGAGACAAAATACCTGACACCCAAAGTTAGAGGGGAAGGGGTTTCTTTGGCTTACAGTTCATAGAGGTTTCAGTCCATAATCAGCTGGCTCTAAGGTGGGATGGCAAAGAAGTATTGCAGAACAGAAACAGGTAGTACACACAAGGCAGCAAGGGTAACAAGAGCAGGTTCTTAGATTTTTAATGTTGATATGTAGGAGTAAAACTGTTGAATCATAGCCCACATTTTAGCATAAGATTCCCCAAATGATAAGTATACACATCAGAAATTGAAAATCACTCTAACCATTTTTTGGGATCGCACCTCATTGGATTAAAAGAAAGTTGTGGAGTATTAAAAGTTGAGGTAGTGTACTGATCACACATTAATAGGTGAAAACTGGTTAAATGTATAGGTAGCTTCTGTATAAGAACTGAGAAAAGAAAAGAAAGTACAGAGATTTATATTTTGTAAGTAATCACATTGAACCAAATTTTCCCATAATGTAGACTCACCAGAGGTTTTGTTTTGTTTTGTCTACATCACTTCTTGAGAAGAGTTTCATTTGTTTCTTGAGTTTTAATTTCCTTAATGTAAACTGAGATTATATTAGAGCCACAAATGAAGGTTATCATGGAGTTCATAGTCTTAAGAATGTGTGGGGTGCAGCCTAGAAGATGGAAATTACTTTCATGTGTTATGATTATTAATGTTACAGAAATGTCCATCTCTACTCAACATTTTCAGATTCTTCTGTGTTAAATTTTACCGTGGGGAGCTATTTACTTGCAACATTTCTAGAGGGCCTTTTAAAATAAAGTAGGATAAGTAACAAAAATATCAAGGATTACAGGACAGTCTAATACAGGTTTAATATAAGTGATACATTTATTGTTTTCCTCAGAAAGTATACTTTATATTAAAATAAAATTTTATAATTTTAACTCAAAATGTAGTTGTAAATTATCCAGAAAATAGAACTTCTCAGTAACAACCAAGTCATTATTAATTGTTTTATGAGAGAAAAGCAGGCATGCTTTTAATTGTGTATTGTGTTGAATATATTTATCCTTTCTCATTCTTTCAGATTCATCAGGATTCATTTTTGATTTGCAGTCCAATACTGTACTGGCCCAAGGAGGAGTTTTTGAGAACATGAAAGAGAAGGTAAGATTAGTTACTGTAGATAACAATCTTGAATGTCATAGGAAAATTTAGGAAACTAATCAGTAGCTGTTACAAACTCATTATGAACCAGGGATGCAGTGGCACACACCTGTTTTCCCAGCACTTGGGAGGCTGAGGCAGGAGAATCGCCAGAAGTTCAAAGCCAGCCTGGACTACAGAACAAGACCCTGTCTCAAAAAAACCCCCAAAAAAATCAAACAAGAAAAGAAAAATACCATGTATCATTTTAAATGCCTAACTGAACATAAAAGGTAAAGGAAATCCATAGGTCCAAAAATACAGATGGGACTGAAAACTAGAATGGCAACTGAAACGAGGTGACAATGCCAGTCTCAGTAGCAAATGAGTCTCAGTAGCTTTACCACAGAGGACCAGAAGGCCCAGGGTTTGTCCTGGGGAAAGGATTGGACAGGTCTTATGCCAGGTGTGGTGATCTCCGTACTCAGGAGGCTAAGGCAAGAGGATCACAAAGAGTTCGAGGGCATCCTAGTTCAAGGCTTACCTGAACTATATAATGGGTCCCTATAGCTAAAAAAAGAATACTGGAACAGGCTTTATGTCAGGTCAAGAGTTTTAAGGGGCTGGGGATTTAGCTCAGTGGTTCTGTTGCTTGCCTTGAAAGTGCAAGGCCCTGAGTTCGATCTCCGGTACCAAAAAGAAAATAAGATTTAAAAAATATTTTACCTTCAGAGAAATAATGAACAAGAAAATCCCACTGACTTCTTTTCCTCCTCACCTCCCAACTTTATTCAGTGGCATGCTCATAGCAGGGTTGGTGGTAAAAACAAGGTGGGGCCTAATCTATCTTTGAGCCCTGGGGGCTCCACACTCCATACACTATGGGTGGGAAAGGGTACAGGGGGCTTGGTGGCCCCCACAGAAATCTGTATATGGGGAAGGAGGCAGTGAGTGTCAGGGTCCCTTTAGCCCAGGCCCAAATAGGAGGGGCTAATCCTGGGCTGAGATCTATGGGCTGAGCGCACAAAGTATCTGCTCCAGAGGGGCCAGATAGCCAAGCCCTTGTTCGGACACAAGTCCATAGGGAAGCTGGGGAATGCTCTGAACGCAAGGCTGTGCCACTCTCCTTTTTCCCATCTGGTGAGGGAGAGGCGGATTCTGGGCTGGACCCAGCAGCTACTGTGTCCTGTCATATCCCATCCTTGGCTTTCAGAATGGCTTTATGGCTACTTGAAAATGTAGCCTTGATATTCGAGAGTCTTCATGATGTTGGCAGTGTTTTTGCAGCCATCGATGTCACTGTGGGCCTGGCCTGTCATGGCTAGAAGTGCATTCTTGGGCCACAGCCCATGGTGAAGCCAAAAGCCTTTTGCAGATTAATCCACTGCTTGAAGTAATCCACCACTGGCAAGCCCACGTACTGGCACTGGCCTGGGAGTGTGACTTTAAAACTTGACGTTTGACTGCTATACAGATTCAATGCAATTCCAATTGAAATCTCAACAGTATATTTCACAGAACTAGAGAAAACAATCCAAAAATTCATTTGGAACCAGAAGAGACCTAGAATAGCAAAAGCAATTCT